TCACTCTTCTTTGGTTCTGTCTCTATTTCTGAACCAGGTTCTGTCTCTCTCTTTGAACTTGAAAGTGCAGAGAGTAAAAGGCAGGCAGTTTTACTCTCTACCTTTTAGTCTCTGTGCTTTTAAGTTCAAAAATTCTAAGAGAGGAATCTGATCAACTGCCCTGTGCCATACAAAAGATCAAGCAATCATCACGAGGGTTTTGCAGTCCTACCCCTCGCTTAGGTTGGGCCAGGATGATACCCCTGAACCAACGAAATGAGGTCAGTGGGGCAGACTTGTATAAGAGAACAGCCATGCTCAGGGAAATCACAAAGTCAGAGAAGGGAGAGGAATAATTCCAAGAAGGATAGGCATACTATTCCTGGAAGAAGGGCAAACAGCAGAGGTGTCCCTTACTGAAAGGATAATGTTTCAAATGTGCTGAATCTGAAGCACCCCACCCCAAAAAAAGTGAAAGTGAAAGTCGCTCAATTGTGTCCGACTCTTTGAGACCCCCATGGGTATAGTCCATGGAATTCTCTAGGCCAGAATACTGGAGTGGGTAGCCTTTCCCTTCTCTAGGGGATCTTCCCAACCCAGGCATCGAACCCAGGTCTCCTGCATTGCAGGTGGATTATTTACCAGCTGAGTCACAAGGGAAGCCCAAGAATACCAGAGTGGGTAGCCTATCTGAAGCCCCATGGATGATGCAAATGAGGCCATGGAAATGTGAACAGTTAACATTATTGCTCAACATCTATAAGAGACAATTTATGCATGTTATTGATTCTAATGAAACAGGTCATCTCAGCCAAAACTTCAAACTATAAAGTGTGTGTAATTTTACCATGAGATTATCTAGAACTTTAGCTTTCAGAGGAATTTTTGCTCATTTTAAGATGGTTATGGGCTATAGTAGAGTGGGTGTTAAAAGAGCAAAGAATGGGTCATAAATCACAAAAAGGCAAGAGCTCAAGAGCAAAACATCCTGATGTGTTTCCCCCTTCTGGAGCAAGAGACAAGGTCATGAGCTAGCAGAGTCTCAGAACCCCAAGATTTTTCATCTGAGCAACGTGAACAATGGGGCTACCAATGATGGAGAAGGAAGAGTTTATGAGCAGGGCAGAGCTAGGGTAATTTTCAGTTTTCTCTCAGATGCTCACAAGGAGAGGTCAAGGGAGCTATTAGAGGGTCTTCCCTGGTTAAGTGGTTAAGACATTGCCTTCCGATGCAGGAGGTGTGGGTTCTATCCCTGGCCAGGGATCTTAATCCCACATGCCTCCTGGCCCCAAAAGCTAAACATAAAACAGGAGCAATATTGTAACAAATTTAATAAAGACTTTTTTAAAAAGAAAGGAAACTGTTAGAAATGTGGGACTGGATATCAGAAGAGCAGTCTGGTCACTGCTGCAGTTTTTGATTGAATTACTGGTTTTATTTTTTGTGATTTCCTCTTTGTTTTTAATATTTGACTTTCAGGGTGCGTGGATTTCGTGATTTCAAATTACATACCCTATTTATATTTTGGTGACTCTCCGATTTTGGTCATTTTTTTTTTTAATTGAAGTGTCTTTGTTTTACAAGGTTGTGTTAGTTTAAGGTGTACAGCAAAATGATTTAGTTATGCATACATTTATGTCTGTTCTTTTTCAGATTCTTTTCCCTTGTAGGTTATTACTCAGTGTTCAGTATAGTTCCCTGTGTTATTTAATGGGTCTGATATCAAGAGTTCAGGAGTAAATGAGGAACCATCCAAGCAGATTGAGGAAGCCTTCAGATTATGGGAGGAAAACCAGGAAGAGTGATGTTCTGAAGACATGTCAATGAAAAACATCAAAGAGAGATCACTGTGACAGTACTGCTGAAGGGTCACCGGAAAAGTGACCAAGAATTAGTCATCCGATTTAGCAATGTGGCTGACATCGGTGATGTTGACAGTTGCCACGAAATGATGGAGCTCAAGGCAAAAGTCACATCTGAGCTGGGAATGCCAGCACAGGGAACAGAGATTAAGTGGGACACTGTCCTGGACACAGAGGGTCCTGACACAACCCCTTAAGGCTCTGATTCCTCCAGGTCCCTAACCTGGACCACACTGTAGAGTTTAAATAATCTCCTAAGACACAACCCCTTAAGGCTCTGATTCCTCCAGGTCCCTAACCTGGACCACACTGTAGAGTTTAAATAATCTCCTAAGACACAACCCCTTAAGGCTCTGATTCCTCCAGGTCCCTAACATCTCATAAGCCTCACCTTCCCCCCCAACTCCTGCATTGGAAGAACAGCGATTTGATCAACTGAGCACTGTTTTCTTATGTTATTAAGAGAAGCTGAGCACTAAATAAAGCTTTTACTTAAAAGAGCAGATCCCACTAAACCCTAAATCAAAGTTCATGTTCTCCCTTCTTACCAGCACATGGGGAGAAAGACCAAGTCAGAGTCAGACAACACTAAAGGATCTACGTGGTGTCCTCATATTTTTGCCGCCTGTGTTAATAAGTTTTTACTCTAATTGGAGTAAAGTTTCATGATAACTTTTTTCAACTTTATGGAGTCATAAAGAAAATCATATACATATAAAGTCCACAGTATGGTGAGTTGATATACATACATTATGAAATGATCCACAATCAAGCTAATTAACACTCCATCACCTCCCACCCCATCATCACACACAGTTACATCTCTGTGTGTGGTGAGAATGATTAAGATCTACTCTTTCAGCAACTTTCAGATATACAATATTATGTGAAAGATAGTCACTCTGCCATACATCAGATCTCAGAACTTATTCATCTTCAAACTGACACTTCCAACCCTTTGACCAGCATCTCCTCATTTCCCCCACCAACCTCCAGACCCTGGCAACCACCACATTACTCTCTGTTTTGACTTTTTTAGATTTCACATAAAAGTGAGATTATGCCCTTTATTTCCTGCTGTGACTGGCCTATTTCAGTATGCATAATGTCCTCCAGATTCACCCTGTTGCCTCATATTGCAGGATTTCCTTCTTTTTTATGGATGATAATATTCCATTATAATAAATGCATAGTAATGTTGTTATATCACATTTTCTTTCTCTATTCACCTGTTGATGGGCATGTAGGTTGTCTGAAGTGAACAACACTGAAGTGAACATAAGTGAGCAGATATCTCTTTGAGATATAGATTTCATCTTCTAATACATATCCAGAAATGGGTTTGCTATATCCACTATAAATTTCTTTTCATAAGCTTCCCATATCATTGAAAGTGTTAGTTGCTCAGTCGTGTGAGATTCTTTGTGACCCCATGGACTGTAGCCTGCCAGGATCCTCTGTCCATGGAATTCTCCAGGCAAGAATACCTGAGTGGGTTGCCATTCCCTTCTCCGGGAGATCTTCCTGACCAGGGATCAAACCCAGGTCTTCTGCACAGCAGGTGTATTCTTTACCGTCTAAGTTACCAGAACCATAGCTTATTGTTGACAGTTCTTTTCAAACACATCTCATCTTTTTCTTGTGATAATGTGAGCTGTAGAGCTGCCTCTTACTCTTGGTTTTGGTTCCCAAATTGATAAGGGAGAAATTGATAAGTTAAGTTTGAAAATGGGACATCCACCTGAAAAGTATAAAGACATTGGGAACAGAGTCAGATTAGCAGAGCTCTGAGGTCAGGAACAAAGCGAGTAAAGCTGTAGTTGATCAGCGGTGGATGAAGCCAGCTTAGAGAATTTTTGAACATACATGTCACGCTGTATAGATGCATTACAGTTTTTTACTTGCTCAGATACTTAGATGCATGTTTCAGGTCTCTTTAGAGGTCAGAATGAGGCATCCATGTCATAATATTTTAGAAAGCATATTAAAAATGAATAACCCAAGCAATGATATCAGAGAGATTTTGACTTGAGAACTAGCACTGCTACTGATGCTCTGTGTGAATCTGAGGTCACTTTTCAAACTTTGCTCAGCATCCTCATCCATCAAATGGAGGCAGTAATGGCATCACCCAGTTGGTCCAAGAATTGAACAAGATAATGAAGAGAAGGGTCTATTGTAAACACCTATAGTAAATGCTCAGTAATTATTAGCTAGCATTAATGTAATTATCCACCATCCAGAAGGTTTCCTTTTAGGGCCCCTTTAGTGACCTTCTCTCCTGCCTCCATATCTGACTCCATTTCTGCCTCCCCCCACGCCACTACCAGTTCTCATCAGCTGCCCCATGACCTTGCTCCCATGTCCTTCCACCACAGGTATTATGTTACCTCCCTCTCATCCTATGAATTCATCAACTGGAAACAATGTTGAGGAAAAATTACAGTCACACAGGACTTTGCTGGTGGTCCAGTGGTTAAGAATTTACCTTGCAATGCAGGGGAACCAGGTTTGATCCTTGGTCTGGGAACCAACATCCCGAGGGGCAACTAAAGCCTGCAGGCCACAACTAGGGAGCTCGTACTCCACAACAAAAGATCCTGCATGACCCAGCGAAGATCATGAGTGCTGCAACTAAGACCTGATACAGCCAAATAAATAAATAAACATGAAAAAAAAATGTTCACGCTGACAAGCAAGCAAAAAGAGCCCATGTGGGTTCACTGGCAGGCAGTTAAAGATTACTTTATCCCAGATAAGATTGGACTCAGCAAACTTTATATTTTTGATGAGTAAAATCAATATAAAACTTTTAATTAAATGTGACCTCCACTTATATAAGAAATAAATCACCAGAATGCAATATAAAGCATAAGGATTATGGTCAACAATATTGTAATATATTTTTTATGTGGGCAGACTGTTACTAGATTTATCATGGTGCTCATTTTATAAGGTATGTAAATGTCAAATCATTATGTTGTACAACTAAAACCAGCATAATGTTGTACACCTAAAACCAGCATAATGTTGTATGCCAATTATAGTCAATAAAAAATAGTTAAATAAAAAAATAAATAAATAAATAAAATAAAACTTTTAATTAAATATGATACTAGGAGAAGATTTTGATCTCCAAACACAGAGAGTTTAAATTACCTGGACCATGCCATTACCATGTTTCTAGAAAGATCAGCAGACCAGCCCTTTGACTACTCACACTCAAGGCAAGTCCTTTGCTTCTGACAAAGATGAGGTGATCTGTAGGCTGAAGTTAGATGTTGAAGTTTGATCAGTCACCATGCAAGGTAGAATGAGCTGGATCTCTGGGAATATAGACATCCTTTCTTTATCATTATTGCTATTATCGGTTGATTTGTTTCTTTGATTTTGTTTCATTTGCTTACTTGTTCAAAGCATTGAGGATCGTGGGCAGGTGATGAGGCCCAGAAGGCAGAAGCGACTCAGCCAGGTGAATGAGGTGGAGCAGAACTGCTTCAAGGCCCAGAGGACGTCCTGAGAGGAGGGGCTTCCTCTGAGCTTCTTGAACCAACAGTGTCCCATGCCTGGGCAGCTGCAGCAATGGGAGCATGGGTGTGGTGCCCATCCCATCCGCCACAGACACTGCAGGTCTTCCCCAGACAACTGGATGCTGGTAGCTGTTAGCCTGGAGAAACTGAACAAGAAAAGAAGATGAAAGTGTCACATGGGCACTGTGATCACCTGGGAGGCCTCCTTTTAGGGACTGGCATGTGCTGAGGGATGGTGTGGGAACTCAGATGCTGAGGCCTTATAAACATAGTGCCAGAGGCATTGTAACATCAGTATTAAACATAAAAGGGGTCAATTTCATAAACCAACCGGCAAGGAATTTCTTCAACCTCCTCATATTTCAGATTAAAAATATGAGGTACAAACTCTTTAAGTGTCTTGACCAAGAATAATTCTTCCAAATACACACTGCAGCCATAAAGTGTCATAGCAATGCAATTCTTGGAGTGGCCATGAATTTAATACTGAAAAATCTTACTTTCTGAAATCATGGACTATCAGGAACACTTCTTTTTGAAATTATTTCAGTAAGATGAAATATCCAAGTCTGATCTGAAGGAGTTTAGTCATTGCATCACAGGATAGTAGCCTTGACTTGTGGTCCATATGCAGAGTTGTGCAAGGCAATCTTGGACATAGCATTTGACATCTCTCTTAACTTTGTTTCCAAGGAACAGAACCACAGGTCTATTTCACAGGCCGTAACTGAGGGTGACCCCTTTACACACAGTCCGACTTTGCTTGGAGACCATCAAAACAGTGCTTCAGGACTTCCCTGGAAGCCCAGTGGTTAAGACTCTATGCTTCCATTGAATGGGTCTCAGATTTGATCCCTGTTTGGGGAACTAAGATCCCATATGTCACACAGCACGGTCAAAGGAAAAAAAAAAAATACTGCTTCATTTACATTACACCTAAATGTCATTCTTGCAAAATCCCATCATTACTCTCTCTTTTTCTCTCGTGAAATGTCCCCAGATGGCAAGAGTCAGTGAACCTGACTTTGGTAGTCCACAGGTTTATCTCTGGTGGTCTTAGGCTGATCAGGTAAGGAAAAGAATGTGTCTTATATTTGCAATATCTACTTTTAATTATCTGTGTTTTATTCCATCCGGTAAGTAGGAGTAACAAAATAATCTAATTGCAAACCAAAGGATGTTTAAAACTTAAAAGTTTCCATGCTATAAACATAGAAAATTCTTGAGGTCAAAGAGGAAGAAAATCACTGTATTTAAAATGAAAAACAAAAAACAATGACTCCTCGGTTTTTCTTTTACTTTCCCCAAACCCAGACCGTGCCTCCTATAATACAACAATGATCCAAAAAGGTGTTTTTCTTTCCTCCTTAGCAATATGACCAGGCAATGTTTAGTGACAACGACCAGTGCATTGCTTGAGAGATACTGGAAAACTTGAAATACTGATGAATTTCCAAAACCTCCTTCCCAGTCCTCATTCTTGACATATGACCTTGTTTTCTACTTCACTGAGAAGTAGGAAAAAATCAGAAGTAGAACAACAACAACAACAAAAATAGCACATCTTCCCAACCTCTTGCAGCTGCGCCTGTATGCTATCGCTGGTCAGGATGTTCCTATTCTCTCCTTTGCACTAGATCCCATTGCTTGGGAGGACGTTGTTCCAGGAATTCCCTCCTTTCTTTTCCCTGGTCATCCACCTCCAAGACAGCCCCTGATGAACCTCAGCCCTTGGTTCCCACACTGTGAAGCAGTCCCTTCTTACATGGAGTCAGGGCTGAAGTATGTGATCAACAGAATTCTGCAGATGCCCCGTTGTGTGACCTCAGATGTGAGGTCATAGAGGACAGTGGGGCTCCCACCCTCTTGGAGTTCTCACCCTGGGGATGCCACATTGTCATGAGGACACTCAAGCAGTCCTCTGATGAGGCCCATGAAGAGAAACTGTGGTCTCCCCTGAGAGACAGCCAGTGTGCCCATCCCATGAGCAAGCCTCCTCGGAGGTGGAGTCTCAGGGCCCATCCACATCTTCAGATGCCAGGAACCATAGCCAGTGTCTCCATGCAGCTTCAGGAGAGACTTTGAGTGAGAACCCTACCCAAAATGTTCCTGAATTCCTGGCCCACAGAAACTGTGAGAGAGGACAAATGTCTAATATTCCCCAAGATAATGTATTTGGGACAATTTGTTATACAGTAATAAATAACTAATACATCTTCTGTGATCACAGGACTTGAACTTCTCCCCACCTTCCCCAGAGGAAAAGCAGAGTCCTCTGGAGACCCCACAAGGACCCTCCTCTCCTGCCTGTGTGCTAAGTCACTTCACTGTATCCAACTCTTTTCAACCTTATGGACCATAGCCTGCCAGGCTTCTCTGTCCATAGGATTCTCCAGGCAGGAATACTGGAGCAGGGTTTTCATATCCTCCTCCAGGGGGTCTTCTCTACTCAGGGATTTAACCCACCTCTCTTACATCTCTTGCACTGGCAGGCAGGTTCTTTACCACTAGTGCCACCTGGAAAGGCCCCTTCCTATCCTGCTTGCCTCCTATTTCCTCCCTGGCCCCACCCTCTTCTCACCACCCCAGGCCCACCCACAGGGACCCCGTTGCCTTCCTCAGGAGCATCAGGGCATCACTGTTCCCTCCCCTCTCCCCCTGCTAGGCCATCCCTCAGTGTTCCACTCCCAGGGAGGCCTTCCCTGATGATGTTTCCAGAAACGCAGCTCCCCACATATACCCACACCCACAAACATTCTTCTTTCTCTTTCCTTTAGTTTTTCCTTCACACGCATTACTGTTTAATAGACCTCATGTATTATGTATGATGGGCTTCCCTGGTGGCTCAGATGGTAAAGCATCTGCCTGTAATGCAGGAGACCTGGGTTCGATCCCTGGGTCAGGAAGTTCCCCTGGAGAAGGGAATGGCAACCCACTCCAGTACTCTCGCCTGGAAAATTCCATGGATGCAGGAGCCTGGTGGGCTACAGTCTACAGGGTCACAAAGAGTCAGACACAACTGAGTGACTTCACTTTCACTTTCATTATAGATGATACCTCTGCCCGGGGTAGCTGAGAGCTGAGCTGGTGCATGGATTGTTGTCTCTTCCTGATGCGGACACACTCTCCAGTTTATTGTGTGTCCTCCATAAAGACTCTCAGATGAATACACGAGTGTCAAGGATGCATGGATATCCAATTAATATTAACTTAAGGGGATGTCTCTGGTGGTCCAGTGGTTAAGACTCTGGGCATCCACGGCAGAGGGTACAGATTTACATGATAAATAAGCATTGGATTGGGGAAGGAACATTTACTTTAACATTTTGCATCATCAATGCTCACAGCATATTTTTCTAGTGTCACGTTATTCTTGGAAATTTTTGTTTGCTTTCATGATATAGTAAAACTCTTCTTGAAAATTATTTGTTTTAAATTGATGCCTTTTTTGCAAAGAACCCAGTGAAAGTTCAACAGTGAAGTGAATTATTACACTATCTAGTGAATAAAGAGGATTTTTCTGCAATTCACAGTTCCTCATTCTGTATAGAATCTAAATTTGGGATAAGGATAGCAAATATTATATCCAAGAAGATCATTTAGCAACTATGGGAAAGAGAAAGGAAGCCTAGATCTTACATCCATACTTATCCAGAAGAGCCATCAAATGATAAACAGGTGTTCAGAGATCAAAATGGGAAGTAATTGGTTTTTATTACTAATTGAAAGGATAAAATGGTACTTCTCAGTATATGTTTCACTTTATAAACTTGTCTCTTATATTCAGTGAATGGTATAAAAGTTAATCAAATTCAAAAAACATATCTATCTATCTATCTACATCTTTTCATATTTATGTAGTTGATATACTTTAACTAGCATATGAAATAGTGTTAACTTTAACAAAATAATCACAGACCTAATACTTTTGTAGGTTTTATTTTTTATTTACTTTGTTATTGAAATATAGTTGATTTTGTTGTTCAGTTGCCAAGTCATGTCCAACTCTTTGTGATGCTATGGACTGCAGCATGCCAGGCTTCTCTGTCCCTCATCATCTTCCAGATTTTGCCCAAGTTCAAGTCCATTGAATCGGTGATGCCATCCAACCATCTCATCCTCTGTCCCCCTCTTCTCCTTCTGCCTTCAATCTTTGTAAAGAGTTGATTTACAGTGTTTCAAGTACACAGCAAAATGAGTCAGTTATACACACACATACACATACATACATGTATATTTTTTGTTATAGATTATTACAAGATACTTAAAATAGTTTCCTGAGCTATACAGTAGGTCCTTGTTGTTTATCTATCTTATATATAGTAGTGTGTACGTGTTGAAAAAGCTCTATACAGTCAGCAAAAACAAGACTGGGAGCTGGCTGTGGCTCAGATCATGAACTTTTTATTGTCAAATTCAGACTTAAATTGAAGGAAGTAGGGAAAACCACTAGGCCATTCAGGTATGATCTAAATCAAATTGCTTACGGTTATACAGTGGAAGTGAGAAATAGATTTGAGGGATTAGATCTGATAGAGTGCCTGATGAACTATGGACAGAGGTTCATGACATTGTACAGGAGACAGGGATCAAGACCATCCCCAAGAAAAAGAAATGCAAAACAGCAAAATGGCTGTCTGAGGAGGCCTTACAAATAGCTGTGAACAGAAGAGAAGCAAAAAGCAAAGGAAACAAGGAAAGATCCACCCATTTGAATGCAGAGTTCCAAAGAATAGCAAGGAGAGATAAGAAAGGCTTCTTCAGTGATCAGTGCAAAGAAGTAGAGGGAAACAGTTGAATGGGAAAGACTAGAGATCTCTTCAAGAAAATTAGAGATACCAGGGGAACATTTCATACAAAGATGGGCACAATAAAGGACAGAAACAGTATGGACAT